AAACATTGAGCAGCCCTTCACCTGGTGCTGATACTGAGCTTAAGAGTAGGCTTGGTGATTACTCCTGAGGGCATGTTTTCTATGTCTACATTTTATATGAAAGAAGGGATAGCAGCCTTTCAAATGTAGTTTTCTTAAATCTCAATGACTTGATTTTTCTTGAGTGACTTTCTGGACCTTGGGCTCAGTTGAAGGTCAGAAGATCTCTCTGTTTTCCTTTAGGCTCTGTCTTCTACCAAGTTACAGTATTCAGTTTTTTTCTTCTCTTCTTATAGTCTTAGCATATTATCCAAAGATTACGCAGGCAGAAAAACAAGTGGTAGGAAAACATGAATATGCAAATCCCAGCTATTGATTGTCATAACATTAAACCACAATTTTATTAGCCTTCAGTTAATGCTTTTAATGTTTTATATTTTACATTAAGTACACAATTTTAAACAAAGTTTTACCTATAAGAAACTCTGTTTTTTATGTATATCTTATTATCTCTTCATATTGGCAAGTTCTTGCAGTTCTTGCATATTCTACAGTTCGTTTCATTCTGTTGGCTCTTAGTAACAATATCTCAAATACCGGTTTCTCCTCTGTTTATAATATTAGATCTCTGGAAATTTATTTGACAAGTGGGGAAAAGTCTACCTGGTGTAATTATGTAACTTCATTTCCCGATCCTCAGTTCATTAGCCGACTTGGCAAATAACTATAAAATGTACGAGTTCTATTCACTTTGAAGTTTTAGTAGTGTTTTATTGTTGTTGGCTAAGCTTATGCTGTTAGTATTACACTCCCTTGAGAGAATTATAGTTTACATATTTCTCAACGATCACTAAAGTTTAGTTAGCCACCTTGTATAAATTAAGCATAAGATGTTACCTTTTAATGCTGTCTCAACATTTACATCTTATAAAATGTAAAGGAAATTTATGTCCGCAAACATCTTTAAATGACTTTTAATTCACTACTGTTAAACAGGCAGGAGAATCAGAATTAAAATTGAAACTCCATTCTTAAAGTACCCATGCAGTGTGGATTCTGTTGTCAGCCCCAGATAGAAAGTATTATAGTTTCATTTTCAAAGAAATAGATGTAGATTATCGTGGCAGAATCATTGTCCAAGAGAAGCAGGCTCAGTTATCTTGCTATTTGAAATGAAAAAGGTGTTTCTGGGCAATGCTACAACCTAGGAGTCTAGTCATAGAATCCGAGACCATACACCTGTGGGATTGATGGACAGATTCCCTCAGCTGATGGAGCTGTCTTTTGTCCTGGGAGATCTTCAGAGTGCTTCTCCCTGTCCACCAGTGTCATCTGCTTATTTCTTTCATTATAATTCAGCTAGCTGTAATTCATAGAAGTGCTTATTTTTTCCAGGTAGATGGGAAAAGCATAGTCTGTTGCAGAGGAGAGTGATTATATAGCTGTTCGTCACCAATATATAGCTGACATTTGAGTAGCATCTACTGTCTCTTAATGGTTAGACATAAACATTGAACAGGAGAAGGGAAAGGACTAAGCCCTGTTGGATTTAGCAAGTGAAGGCTCTCAATGAGGCAGAGCAGGGGCTCACAGATCCTCTGTACTGTGTTAGGGAGGAATTTTCAAAATTATCTGAAAGCAGATCTCTTGAGGATCCTGAGAGAGGAGGTAGAGGTGACTAGATTTAGATGTGCCATTGTCCCTGCATCACAGCAAAGAGACAAAAAAATATCATATTGCCTCTATATAAATCCATGGTACGCCCACATCTCAAAAAAAAGTATTGGAATTGGGAAAAGGTTCAGAAAAGGGCAACAAAAATTATTACGGGTATGGAACGGCTGCCATATGAGGAAACATTAATAAGACTGGGACTTTTCAGCTTGGAAAAGAGGCGACTCAGAGTGGATATGATAGAGGTATATAAAATCATGACCAGTGTGGAGAAAGTAAATAAGGAAGTGTTATTTACTCCCTCTCATAACACAAGAACTAGAGGCTACCAAATGAAATTAATAGGCAACAGGTTTAAAACAAACAAAAAGAAGCATTTTTTCACACAATGCACAGTCAACATGTGGAACTCCTTGCCAGAGGATGTTGTGAAAGGCCAGGACTATAACAGGGTTCAAAACAGAGCTATATAAATTCATGGAGGATAGATCCATCAAAGCCTATGAGCCAGGTTGGGCAGGGATGTTGTTCCTAGTCTCTGTTTGCCAGAAGCTGGGAATGGGTGACGGGATGGATCACTTGATGATTACCTGTTCTGTTCATTCCCTCTGGGGCATCTGACATTGGCCACTGTCGGAAGACACGATACTGGGCTAGATGGATCTTTGGTCTGACCCAGTATGGCCGTCCTTATGACTGTCCTCTTATCTTCTCTGTTTCTTTCCTGTGTCATCAACAGAGTGCCCTCAATCTCTGCCTTCAGTCAGAAGGTGGAAAAGAAGTGGTGAATTCAAAATATTAACTAAAATAGCTCTGAAAGTGGAAATAAAAAAAAAATGGGGATGTGGGGGGAATTTGGTTCCTCCTTTTATGGTATAGTTAGGGTTGAGAGTTGCCCTTAAGAGAAACAGAATGTGATTTTCTCTGCTTTTAATGCTTATGGACAACCATAAATGTGTAATATATCCTCTACCTTCTAACTCCTTGACTTATGTGGCGGATTTAGAAGTTGTAAGAGGGCACTGGATGACTGAGATGCTAACGGAGCAGTAAAGGAAGAGAGGGCTTTTGCTGAGAACAGCTAAACTAATTCTTTCCATCAGTCTTCACTGCAGAGGAATGTGGGGGGATCCTCACACCTGAGCCATTCTTTTTACCTGAAAGATCTGAAGAACTGTCCCAGATTCAAGTGGCAATAGAGGATGTTATGGAATAAATTGATAAATTAAATAGTCATAAATCACCAGGACTAGAAGGTATTCTCCCAAGGATTCTGAAGGAACTCAGATATGAAATTTCAGAACTACTGACTGTGGTATGTAACCTATTGCTTAAATCGGCCTCTGTACTAGATGACTGGAGAGTAGCTGAATGTAATTCTAATTTTTTTCACACACCCCCCTCCCCCAAAAGGCCTCCAGAGGTGATCCTGGCAATTACAGGCCAGTAAGCCTATCTTCAGTGCCACACAAATTGGTTGAAACTATAATAAAAAACAAATTTATCAGACACATAGATAAACACAATATGATGGGGAAGGGTCAACATGGCTTTTGTAAAAGGAAATCATGTCTCACCAATCTATTAAAATTCTCTGAGGATATCAGCAAGCATGTGGACAAGGATGATCCATGATATAGTGTAGTTGGCCTTTCAGAAAGGATTCTTGTCCACATGCTTGACACAGTCCCTCACAAAAGGCTCTTAGGCAAACTGAGGAGTCATGGGATAAGAGGGAATGTCCTCTCCTGGATCAGTAGTTTATTAATTAAAAGATTAGAAACAAAGGGTAGGAATAGTCAGTTTCCCCACTGGAAAGAGGTAAATAGTGGGATCCCCAAGGATTTGTACTGGAACCTGTTTCTGTTCAACATAATCATAAATGCTCTTGAAAAGGAGGTGAACAGTGATGTGGTAAAATTTTCAGATGATACAAGATAGGTAAGTCCAAAGCTGACCAAAAGCTGAAGAGTTACAAAGAGTTACTAAACTGGGGGCAACAAAATGGCAGATGAAATTCAGTGTTGATAAGTGTAAAGTAATGCACAATGGAAAAAATAATCCCAACTACATATACAAATTGATGGGTCTAGATTAGCTGTTACCACTAAAGAAAGAGGTCCTGGAGTCACTGTGGATAGTTCTTTGGAAACATGCTCAATGTGCAAGGCAGTCAAAAAAGCTAACAATGTTGGGAACCATTAAGAAAAAGAGAGAGCTAATAAGACAGACAATATAATGCCACTATATAAATCTATGGTATGCCCACACCTTGAATGCTGCGTGCAGGTCTGGTCACCCTATCTCAGAAAAGGTGTATTAAAACTGGAAGAGGTACAGAGAAGAGTAAAAAAAAAAAAAAGTGATTAAGGGTATGGAACAATTTCCATTTGAGAAGACATGAACAGTCTGTCTTTTTAAGCTTACAATAGAGACAACTAATGGGGAATATAATAGAGGTCCATAAATCCATGAGTGTGTGAAGAGGAAAGTGTTGTTTTCACCCTTCATATGACATAAGAACTAGAGGTCAAACGATGAAATTAATAGGCAGCAGGTTTAAAACAAAAATAAGTAACTCCTTCACACAATGCAGTCAACCCATTGGATATTGTGATGTATAACTGGGTTCAAAAAAGAATTTGATAAGTTCATGGAACACAGATCCATTCATGCCTGTTAGCCAAGATGATCAGGGAGGCAACCCCATGCTCTGTGTGTCCCTAAACCTCCCAACTGCTGGAAGCTGGGGCTGGACAACAGGATAACTCTACATTGCCCTGTTCTGTTCAGTCCCTCTGAAGGATCTGGCACTGGCCATTGTCAGAAGACAGGATGCTGGTCTAGATGGACCATTGATCTGACCCACTATGGCTATTCTTATGCATTCTTACTCTTCTTAATAGAATTTTTGGTTAATAAATTTCATAAATGTTTCATATACAAATATGAGACATGTTTTCCTTCAGTCTAAACTTATTTCCCTTATCTTTTTCCCTCTTTGTTTTTAATTTGTTCCCCATTGCTCACTGATTCATTCTCTGTCTCGGGAATCTGCCTTTCATTCTGGGAAGGTAGGGTTTGGTGCTCTGCTGTGAAGCAGGAACATGTTTTCTACAGATGGGTCTTCCAAAATACTTAAACGCAGCTGGCAAACATCAGAATCTGGTTAACATTGCTTTTTGTTTGTTTGGGTTTTCATTTAGCGGGAGGAAGCCCTGCTTGCTCATTTAACAAATGTTCCTACTGCATCAGCAGTTGATTTTAGTGCTGATTCATGTGGCATAAGAATGTAAAGTTAATTACATTAAGGCAATGTTCACATTATTCTCGCTTTCCTGTTTCAGGTTTTTAGCCCGTTCCTTGGTAAAGATGGCAGCCAATAATGCAGTATTGAACAGACTGGAGCAAAAGGGTGCAGAGGCGGATCAAGTCATTGAATACCTCAAACAGCAAGTTGCTCTTCTAAAAGAGAAAGCTAGTAAGAAAGCAATGTCTTAAAGCAAATTTACTAATCAGGAATGAAAGGGAAGGAATGAGAAAGTGCTGTGAAGTTATGTTTTTTCTATTCTGGAAGCAATAAAAGGGGATGGCTTCAATGACACAAACAGATTGTGGAAGCCCTGGAGGATAGAAGTGAATTATTCCAAGGAGGGACATGACTCAACACACTTCCATCATTGTGTGTTGCTGTATAGGATTCTCTGAAGCTGTCAGCAAGCTCTCTGCCTGACTCTTTGATGTAAATGTTAGATCACTTTCTGACAACGGAATACTCCATATTTGTAAATATATGCCCCAGCTTGTTTCCAGAAACCAGGATTTATATGATTTGGGTGTGTCCTCAGTAGTCTAATATTTAGCCATATATTCTGTGTATATTCATGAAACAACTCCATTTCCATTTTTTAGACTGTCATAGTTACTACAGGGCTTTTCATTCTCAACAGAGAGATACTTTTATACACATTCATTTCAAAGGATGAAGGTGCTCCATCAAGAATATCTACTACTATTTTCAAGCTTTAATCTTAATAGGTTTTTTTTTCCATTTCTCTTCTTTCTACACTGTATTTGGAAACGGCATTTTTTAGTCTTGCATAAGCATTTTCTGCTTATGAGCCAAACCATTCTTTTCATTCATGGCTTTGATAAATTTAGCGAACACTTGACAGCTGTCAAAAATTTACTTCTATTGTATTGATAATGAAATAGTCTCATTCGTCTCTTAAATCTTTCCCAAAACTTAGTGTCTAGTCATAGAATCATAGAATATTAGGGTTGGAAGGGACCTCAGGAGGTCATCTAATCCAACCCTCTGCTCAAAGCAGGACCAGTCCCCAACTAAATCATCCCAGCCAAAGCTTTGTCAAGCCTGACCTTAAAAACTTCAAAGGAAGGAGATTCCAGCACCTCCCTAGGTAACGCATTCCAGTGCTTCACCACCCTCCTAGTGAAAAAGTTTTTCCTAATCAGTATCAGAGGGCCAAAGACTCCTCTTTTGCCTTGTCTTCTTTACAAAGCAAAGTCTTAATACATACCTCCATAATTTTTTAATACATTTTTAAGATATATCAACTTCAGTGCTGCCCTTCATAGTTCATTGTACACTGTCCTGATACTTATCATAGAAGAAATATCACTCCATAGATGGGAATCTTTTCTCTTACATTCATTCATCACCGTCTGTTTTGTTAACCAAAAAAAATTAGATATGTGTGCATAGGCATTATTGCAGCACATTGGTTTAAGTTAGTCTGTCATAATCCTGTATATGACATTCCCAGAATTTCTGCTTTGGTAGATGGACTGACATTTCTTCCTGAATGCCTCACCACCCGCTGAAACATAACATGCCCAAAACTCAACTTCTTATCTTTCCTCCCAAGTCCTGCCCTCTCTTCCATTCTCTGTCATTCTGTACAGTAGCATAATTCTCCCTAGCACTCAGGTCCATAAAGTGAGGGCTGTCTTTGACTTCTTTCCTCTCCTACTTGCTGCAGTCAGATCATATTAAATCCTGCCTCTTTTTTCTCTATTACACTTCACTTCAAAAATCCATGCCATTAAAACTTTTCCCAAGTTCTTATCAGATCACGTCTCGATTACCATAACCACTTCATCAACCCTCACACATACCATTTCCAGTCCATACAAAATACAGCTACTTAATTCATCTTCCTTACCCATGTCTCTGACAGTGTCACCTCCCCACTTGCTTTGAATCTCTCCACTGGCTCCCTGCTTTCCAGTATTAAGTTCAAATTTCTTGGTCTCTTTAATTATTCACTCTTGTCTCTTATTGCATCGTCCTCTTCCCTTTCCTCCTCCTCTCCCCCAACCCTCGTCCTCCTCCTACTGCCCGGTCTCCACTCTATAAGTAAAGAGAAAAATGGGCAGTCAAGACTCTCTTAAAACATTTTTCATGTTTTCTTCTGTCACTCCTTTTGCATGGGATGCCACCCTGAACTGTTTTGCTAGTTGTCATCTTCAGAACCCTCCTCACTTCTGCTATGACACCTACCAAAAATCAGACAACTCATAATGATTGCTCGGTTGTAAGAAAAAATTCAGTAACCCCAAAACAGAATATCAAATACTTAAGTTGTATGTTCTGAATCATTTAATTGCATGAATTTACTGTTACCCATGTCCTCATTCTCTCCTTGTTTGTCATGCTTACTCTTGTCGTCTTTTCCTTACTATATTTTTGCAGGGTCCCAAACCTGATTGGGGCCTTTAGGCCCTACCACAATCCAAATAGAAATATTGTGTTTGCCACCTTTTTGATAGTATTATAGTTTAGAATTTAGACTGCTAACATTTTTAATGAATGCATGTGGACCTTACATCTTCTGAATTCCTAAAGAGTTCCTCTTGGCATGTAATCTAAATGTTTTGCTTATAAATTTAAAGTGATCACACTTTTCAACACACATTCTGCATAGCCCAAAGGTAATGCCACAACATCTTATACTGAAACATTTTGTCATCTTTCTTATACCCCCAGCTTTTTTCTTTAGTCAGAAACAAGGGGGCTCTAAAGATTAAAACGTTGAGCCATTATTGCCAGTCTTTTTTTCCCTCAAAACAATTTATAACCATATCAGCATTGTTTCAGTTAGTTAAACAAAATTACAAGATACATTTTTAAAATACAAAGAATGAATCAAATACCATTCGCTCTCAAGTTTAATCCCAATGTTACCCCACATCAACCATTCAACAAAATAGAAAGTATTATTAAAAGCTAGTGCCAAATTTAATCTGTGAATCAAGTCCATTTGTATTTATTTATTATCTTTTCTATTATGCTAATTTATGTAATATCTTGAATGCCTCACAATTATTAAAAAGAATAGAATAAGTCTCTCAGCATCACCGTTTCAGAATAGAGAAATGGAGGCACAGAGTTGAGTGACTTGCTGAAGGTCACCCAGGAAGCCTGTGGGCACACTGGGAATAGAACCTTTTTTCCATTGTTTAAATAAGACTGTCCTTACTTTCACAGCAGGCAACCTCATTGTACATTCTGTATTTAGTTTGCCAACTTCAGTGGGGTTTTTTATTGTATATCAGGACAGAAATCTGGGTGTTTACAAATATAGGTTATTTTGTTGAACCTCATATAGTTGATTACAAAGTTATAGATTCAGTTTGCTGCCACCAGAGGAATTTGAGAGGGGAACAAAAAGTAGCTTGATTATGATTTAGATGTAAATCCATTAGGAAGGCATGAAAGTTGATATTTGAGAAACCACTGTCAATGTTCATTAACATGTGTGATCTCTTCTAATGATAACTTTGAATTATTTTTAAAATATTTCCTTTATTTGCTTTTAATATGTAACAGTTTTAACTATTTTTGTTCAGATAAGTGACATTCAGCACTTAGCAAATGGATGCGTAATGACTGGAGCCTGTAGTTTCTAATGTAAATTGTGTCAACTCTAGTCCTGCAGGCATCTCTCCGAGAAGAGAAGAAGCTTCGTGTAGAAAATGCTAAACTGAAGAAAGAAATTGAGGGACTGAAACAGGAGCTGATCCAAGCAGAAATTCAGAATGGAGGTAAGAGAGAAAGGAAGAAGAACTATATCTTCACATGTGTGGGCATAGATCCTGTCACCATCTTTGACTGCTGTTTTGATCACTTGTTTCATACTTCCTGATTCATATTCTTGTAGTCACACCCATGGCATATTTTTTGGCTGCTTTGGTGACACTTTGGAATACCATACCTCTCGGTGGTTAACCACCTCTATAATTTAAGTTCTCTTGTAAGTTGCAGAAGTGACAATTACATATGAAAAGTTTAGTCATGGTTGGGACCGTGCCTTTCTAAATGTCTGTACAGTGCTTGGCATAATAGGGACCTAAATTTGACTGAGGTTTCTGGGTGCTCTTACAATACACTGGAAGATGTTTGGTGACGAATGCGTTTGAAACTCTGTGTACCTCATTTAGGTACCTCATCTGGAACTGAGCTCCTTTGAAGACCTAGCCACAGTTGAGGGTACTGAGCACTCTGGGAAAGCTGCGCCTAAATGACTTACCAAGGTGGTCCAAGGATTTTGTGGTGGAACTGAGATTAGAACATAGCTTTTCTGAGTCTCAGCCCTGTGGCTTAACAACAAAGACTTTGTTATACCACTGTTCCTCCTCTGTCATTGTCCCACAGTCTGGGTCTATCTTTTTAAGCCTGGGGCTGATATAGTCCTCACCCTTATTATGCAATTTTACTTTTGAGAGAAAAGGAACAAAAAGAGGAAGCTGCAGTGTTCCAAATACAGCATGAGGGTTTCATTTTCTGCAAACAAATGTTCTTGAAGAATATATCAAAAAACAAAACAAAAAAAAAAACATTTTTAGTCTATTTGTTTCACACTTCTAGTACTGGAAACCAGATAAGACAATATCCAGTGAAGCATGATCTTACTGCTTCCCATTACTGACTTGTTCAGGTGTTAAATCAGCATGTGCAGTCTTCAAAAGAACCACCACTTCATAAATGCAGAGGTTCAACCTCCTCCTTTCACATGACTTAATCCCTTTAATATGCTAGACTATCCATGAGTCTGTTTTTTTCCCCCAGTGGCCGAGAACCTACAATAGTTCACCTTAGTATTCTTTTCAGATGTGGGATAAGCAGGTATGGGTAAGAGGTGTCTACTGATATTTCACAGAAGTATTTTACAGAAAAATATTCCTATTACACATAAGGGACAAGCCTCTATGTATACAAAGTTTTCAGGTTGCAATTGTAGTGTATAAAAAGGATAGAGAATTAATATCCTGTTTAACAAATGTTTTGGATAGACTTTACTTCTTCATTTAGGCAATTTATGTGGATGGAGAGCAGAACTAAATGTAAGGCCTTTTTCTACTGAACAGAAGAATGTTTTATGAGTCTATTATGTATTCACACTACAAGGAACATATAAACCAGCATATGGAATGAGGCATCTTTTAAGAATGGGAGGAACAAGAAGCCTTTCCTGAACTGGTGACCAAAGGGCAAGTTTAACTGTTGGCTGCTTAGCCTGACAACAGTCCAAAGCAAAATAATGGAAAAGCTGATATGGGATCCAGATGATAAAGAATTAAAGGGTATTTATGCTAGGCTTGGATATATAAACAGGGAGTAGTAGGTTAAAGTAGGAAGATGATTTTACATCTGTATACGACATTGGTGAGACCAGTATTGGAATACTACATGCTTTTCAAAATGTGGACACCAGAACTGTAAGTTGAAAAACTGGAGTTCATGCAGACAAGAGCCACAAAAATGATTTGAGGTCTGGAAAAAAGGCCTTTCAGTAAAAGACTTAAAGAGATCAATCTGTTCATTTTATTGAAAAGAAGATTGAGAAGTGACTTGATTACATTGCATAAGAGCCTTCATGGGGATAAAATACTGAGTACTAAAGGATTCTTTCTCTTTACAGAGGAAGGCATAACAAGAACCAATATCTGGAAGTTTAAGCCAGACATATTTAAAGAAATAAGGCACAATTTTTTAAGTGTGGATGATTAACCACTGGAACTAATACCAGGGGAAGTGGTGAATTCTCCATCTCCTGATGTCTTCCAATCAAGACTGGATGCCTTTTTTAAAGTTTATGCATTAGCCCAGGGGTGGCCAACCTTTGGCTCCGGAGCCACATACGGCTCTTCAGAAGTTAATATGCGGCTCCTTGTATAGGCATCAACTCCGGGGCTGGAGCTACAGGCGCCAACTGCTGGGGGGTGCTCACTGCTCAACTCTGGCTCTGCCCCAGGCCCTGCCCCCACTCCACCTCTTCCCTGAGCCTGCAGTGCCTTCGCTCCTACCCTTTGTCCCCCACCCCCACACTCCCGAGCCTCCTGCATGCCAGGAAACAGCTAATTGGGAGCTGCGGGGAGGGAGGAGGAGGCGGTGCTGATCGGCTGGGCTGCTGGTGGGCCAGAGTCGCTGGGAGCAGGGTAGGGGAGCTGATGGGGGGCTGCAGACGTATTACTGTGGCTCTTTGGCAATGTATGTTGGTAGATTCTGACTCCTTCTCAGACTCAGGTTGGCCACCCCTGCTTTAGCAAAACACAAGATATTGGGCTCAGTACATGGGTAACTGGGTGAACTTTAATGTCCTGTGATATACAGGAGATCTGACTAGACAACCTAATGGTCTCTCTTGGCTTAAAGTCTATGAATCTAAGGAACTGATCAACAGAATGGCTTGTGATGTCTTCTCCAAGTAAAGACCAAGGGATCTTTAACCCTTTCCTTTCATCTTGGAAGCGCATGAATAGTTCATGTGCTTCCATTACCTTTTTGTGGAATGTGCAGTGAGTACTTACAGGACCTGTCATAAATATAAAGGGAAGCGTAAACCCCTTTGAAATCCCTCCTGGCCAGGGGAAAGCTCCTCTCACCTGTAAAGGGTTAAGAAGCTAAAGGTAACCTTGCTGGCACCTGACCAAAATGACCAATGAGGAGACAAGATACTTTCAAAAGCTGGGAGAAGGGAGAGAAACAAAGGGTCTGTGTGTCTGCCAAGCTCTGCGATACAACCGCATTTGCTCCAACCCCTCAGACAGAGACAAACACCTACAAGATCTCTGTCAAGCTTTCTTACAACTACAATACCCACCTGCGGAAGTAAAGAAACAGATTGATAGAGCCAGAAGAGTTCCCAGAAGTTACCTACTACAGGACAGGCCTAACAAAGAAAATAACAGAACGCCACTAGCGGTCACCTTCAGCCCCCAACTAAAACCCCTCCAACGCATTATTAAGGATCTACAACCTATCCTAAAGGATGACCCAACACTCTCACAAATCTTGGGAGACAGGCCAGTCCTTGCCTACAGACAGCCCCGCAACCTGAAGCAAATACTCACCAACAACCACATACCACACAACAGAACCACTAACCCAGGAACTTATCCTTGCAACAAAGCCCTTTGCCAACTGTGCCCACATATCTATTCAGGGGACACCATCACAGGGCCTAATAACATCAGTCACACTATCAGAGGCTCGTTCACCTGCACATCCACCAATGTGATATATGCCATCATGTGCCAGCAGTGCCCCTCTGCCATTTACATTGGTCAAACTGGACACTCTCCACGTAAAAGAATAAATGGACACAAATCAGGTGTCAAGAATTATAACATTCATAAACCAGTCGGAGAACACTTCAATCTCTCTGGTCACGCAATCACAGACATGAAGGTCGCTATCTTAAAACAAAAAAACTTCAAATCCAGACTCCAGCGAGAAACTGCTGAATTGGAATTCATTTGCAAATTGGATACTATTAATTTAGGCTTAAATAGAGACTGGGAGTGGCTAAGTCATTATGCAAGGTAGCCTATTTCCCCTTGTTTTTTCCTACCCCCCCCCCCCCCCCCAGACGTTCTGGTTTAACTTGGATTTAAACTTGGAGAGTGGTCAGTTTGGATGAGCTTTTGCCAGCAGGAGAGTGAGTTTGTGTGTGTGTGTGTCCCTGGGGGAAAAAAAAAGGGGGGGGGGGTGAGAAGGCCCACCTTGATTACCATGCACATTGTAGGGAGAGTGGTCACTTTGGATGAGCTATTACCAGCAGGAGAGTGAGTTTGTGTGTGTATGGGGGTGGGGGGGTGAGAAAACCTGAATTTGTGCTGGAAATGGCCCACCTTGATTATCATGCACATTGTAGGGAGAGTGGTCACTTTGGATGAGCTATTACCAGCAGGATAGTGAGTTTGTGAGTGTGTTTTTTGGAGGGGGGTGAGGGGGTGAGAGAACCTGGATTTATGCAGGAAATGGCCCACCTTGATTATCATGCATATTGTGTAGAGAGTTGTCACTTTGGATGGGCTATTACCAGCAGGAGAGTGAATTTGTGTGTGGAGGGTGAGAGAACCTGGATTTGTGCTGGAAATGGCCCAACTTGATGATCACTTTAGATAAGCTATTACCAGCAGGACAGTGGGGTGGGAGGAGGTATTGTTTCATATTCTCTGTGTGTATATAAAGTCTGCTGCAGTTTCCACGATATGCATCCGATGAAGTGAGCTGTAGCTCACGAAAGCTCATGCTCAAATAAATTGGTTAGTCTCTAAGGTGCCACAAGTACTCCTTTTCTTTTTGTCTATATGCTGGGTTTCTGCCGGGGATAGACCAGGAATGGAGTCTTAGAACTTTTAGTAAGTAATCTAGCTAGGTATGTGTTAGATTATGATTTCTTTAAATGGCTGAGAAAAGAATTGTGCTGAATAGAATAACTATTTCTGTCTGTGTATCTTTTTGTAACTTAAGGTTTTGCCTAGAGGGGTTCTCTATGTTTTTGAATCTAATTACCCTGTAAGATATCTACCATCCTGATTTTACAGGGGGGATTTCTTTATTTCTATTTACTTCTATTTTTATTAAAAGTCTTCTTGTAAGAAACTGAATGCTTTTTCATTGTTCTCAGATCCAAGGGTTTGGGTCTGTGGTCACCTATGCAAATTGGTGAGGCTTTTTATCCAACATTTCCCAGGAAAGGGGGGGGTGCAAGTGTTGGGAGGATTGTTCATTGTTCTTAAGATCCAAGGGTCTGGGTCTGTAGTCACCTAGGCAAATTGGTGAGGCTTTTTACCAAACCTTGCCCAGGAAGTGGGATGCAAGGTTTTGGGAAGTATTTTGGGGGGAAAGACGCGTCCAAACAGCTCTTCCCCAGTAACCAGTATTAGTTTGGTGGTGGTAGCAGTCAATCCAAGGACAACGGGTGGAATATTTTGTACCTTGGGGAAGTTTTGACCTAAGCTGGTAAAGATAAACTTAGGAGGTTTTTCATGCAGGTCCCCACATTTGTACCCTAGAGTTCAGAGTGGGGGAGGAACCTTGACAGGACCACCTGCTGTTACGTGTGAAAATAACATCTCATTTACTATTGATGTTTGTAGGATGAAGTACCCCTGTCTCATTGTCTGGATAACAGGCTTACAAATTGTAGTGGTCCTGTGAGGAAAGCAGCTTTAATTTGTTGGCTGTCAGCATATTTCACTTTGCCAAACAAATATTGCAAGTAACCAATCTGAGAATAACTTATCAGAAAGGTTAAGATTCTGTCATGGTATTTTTAGTAAAAATTAGGGTCGGGTCTCAGGCAATCAACAAAAATTCATGGACCCCCACAATCTGTCCCTGACTTTTACTAAAACTTTTACTATCCTGCGGGGGAAGGGCAACAAACAGCGCGCTGTCTGGGGCTGACTGCCCCGACTCAATCCCAGCTGCCGTTCGGGTGGGCCCCCAGGGGTGGGCTGCCAGCCCCTGCAGCAGTGGCTAACTGCTGCTGCTCTAGCCCCAGAGGGATGACCTAACCCCAGCCACTGCTTCAGTTCTTGAGCCGCGGCTGACAGCTGCTCCAGCCCTGCCCTAGAAGAAGTCAGAGAGGTCCTGCAGAGTCACAGAATCTGTGACCTCCGTGACAGAATCATATCCTACTTATCAGCAAGTGTTGCTAATATGAAACTAATATTGCTAAGATTTGAAAGAAAACTGTACTGTACTTTATTCATGACCACATATCTTACTACTGGTGTAGTTACCACACACTTCCTGTAACACATGCTTCAAATAAGTTTAATTATCCTCTGCTTTACAATATGCAAAATTTTCTGCACAACATACTTCATTATTATAACAGTGGGTCATCTCATTTTATGCCACCATTCCCTCCATTTGTGGCCTTTCTTAAGGTACAAATCACTGCCTGTCTAAAAGATAAAAGGTTTCCAGAGATAGTCAGTGCTTGTTTCTCAAAATTAACAATCAAATATAAACTATGGTTGCATTTAAATAAAGCAATGTTTATATGGGAGGGGGAGAACAGAATAAAGGTTTTTCTTAATTCTTGTCTAAGAAAGGCTGCTCAAACCTCATTAGAACCTCATTAGGTTAGATGTCTTAGTTGCAAAGGCCAAAATTTGGTAACAGTAACTTTACATATCACATTACATGTGATCTCCTTTCATTTTTTCTGTCTCCCCAGTTAAATTTTTCTTCTTCTCAGACTCTCTCCTGTATCTCCAACATACATCCTTTGGGGCTTGTTAGAAGTTTCTTCTTCCAGCTCTCCGTCACTGGGTGCTCTTCCTACATAGAAACCTCTAGTCTGTTTCCTCAAAGTGTAATAACAAATGTATGTGGTTAAAAATATGACTTACCGAATATATTATTTATTTATTAAGCACAGTGCAACCAGTGCTGTACAAAACACAAAATAAAGACAGCCCTTGCCTAAGAAGATTACCTTCTAAAAAACAGACATGGAGAGGATTGGACATGTTAGTCTTCGTGTAACATTTGGGAATGTCTTAAATTGTCACATTGGTACTTACCACATATCTGTGGAGAAATGTTTTTGATGCCCCAGAACGACTTTTTTTTTAGTTGACTGAAACAATGATTGTTTAAATTCTCTCTTAGGCTCACAGTCCTGTACTCACTTAAACCCCAAGATCATGTCTTTATCTCTCCAGTTCTCCCCCACCTCAAAAATGGTTTCTGGGTTCACATTTTTTCTGTATGTAAAAAAGTGTTTTTGCAATCTCAATCAATCATGTATCATTTTAGCAAAAAAAACCAACCCTGTGATGGTAATAGTCTCCATTATATTTTGCCTCCTACAACTTTTATATTCTTCATAACAACATTTAAAAATTATAATTATGCTATAACTGCTTTTCAAATTATTTTTGTCTCCTGGTGATTTAAGCCTCGATTCTCTAAAGATTTACATTTGTGCTTAATTTTATGCACATGAGTAGCCTCATTAAAGCTAATGGAAGTAGTCACATACATAAAGTTGAGCATAGGCATAAATTTTTGCCGGGGCCTTTGCTTCTCATTTTCTCTTTGAGTATGTGTGTACACAAAGTTGTGTTTTGCTTTTAAGAGTATACTTAAACCTCAGATTAAATGGAGATGGGGGAGGGAAGGAACAGGTAGGCATAGGATTGATGGACTCACGTCTCTTGCTTTTTCATTTTCTTGTGTATTTTTAAAGTTATCCATTTTCTTTGAGGAAAAAATATTAGGTTTCCCAATATAAAAACAATAATACAGCTATTTAATCAGAATAAATTTTGTTGTAGGTTTGTATGGTGTGTGAGGTCTGCTTAGTAAAGTGACATAGTTGGATATTTGAAATATTGTTTATTTTATTTTCTGAAGCACTCATTTCCTATGTTGTTTTCCTTTAAATTTTCTTTGTATTTCAGATAAAATGCCCTGATTTCAATTATAGTTTTAAGGAACTTAAATAGCATTTTAACTTCCATCATGTTTAATTTTAGTGAAACATATCCCAGTTCCATCCAGTGGAACCATTTCTACAGCTTCATTTTCGGAAGACTTACCACAGCCTATACCTGTCACATCCTATCCTTCTGGTCCCAAAGACCAAATTAAAGGTGGAAGTGAAGAAAAGAAAAAAAAGGAGAAAGCAGAAAAAAAAGGTATTTCCATTTTTTGAATCCCTTAGGCATCTACAACAGTTAGTTTGCAGACTTGCTGTTTAGATTTTTATTGGAGAGGATAGAAAAGAGCAATCAGTAGAGCTACAGTAGGAAAAGTCATACACATTAACTCTTAAACTCCTGGAGAAAGGAAGTATTTACAACTAATGAAAAAAAATAATCAAATAGGTTTGGGGCACTTAAAATTTAAGTTGGATATTGGGCAGATTTGTGTCAGTGTGGCTGAACTGTAGGTTGTCTTCCCTTTCAAAATAATAAATAAAATGCTGAAATTTTGAGGTAGTTGTGTGCAACACAGCACATGAAATTAAATAACTCTGAGGTTCATAGTTCAATTTTGATTCTACCATTGATACCATGCAAGCAACAGCCCATAAACTAGCTTAGAGAATTTACTTAATAAAAAGTAGTAATGTGATATAACATGAAAGGGTAGAACCCAGTGTAGTTTGACTGTTTCTTCTGCTTCTTTTCGGAAAACTCTCTTAGCGAATGAGCTTCAACATCCTATTTAAATTCATCCCTATCAACACTAGTGGTATTATTGTTTGGGTAGGGGGGAGTACATTGAAATCAGCTAGGCAAATAACATTCCTGGAAATTAACACCGTGTGTTGGGACTTTAAATATTATACCCAAATATATTTGACTCAATTTGATATTTATTAGCTGCCTGTAGTAACCTTCATGTAAGAGTATTTAATGAAGATAATAATTTAAGAAAGAGGAAAAAATATAATTATAAAATACTGATTACATTTCCACAAAGGTCTGTTTAGCAACTCAGTGCATGATTAGGAAGGGTCAGTTTATGAATAGTACAATTCACTATTGATGGAAATGAATTTATTTCTGGACCTTCTTCAGAATTTGGACATCCCTATGGCAGTAAAGGGACCGAAAGGTGGGTATAATCATTTTCCTTGTCTTCAGTATGCAACCACTTTTGTCGCAGACTAGGATATCACTGGGATTCATAAAATTTGAAGCAGAGACCAGATGGCATCTCTAAAGCAATAAAGTGATGCACAATTTAGAGCATCTTTTGCTGGGATCTAGTGATTACGGGTTTAATAAAGAATTGGTAAGTAAAAGTAAACATATATTTAACTTTTGTATCACTTTTTTCCCCCTTGTCTTGGTCAGCTGTTTAACAGTATGACAGTAATTTGGAAGGGAAGAAATTTAATTTGATTATCTTTGAAACATACTATTGTAATATCTTAAGAGACAAGGGATATATCTAGGGGCTTATGTATCACTGTGATGGGCATTTACTCAACTTGCAAACCAGCTAGTGTGCAGCATCACGCCATCAAAATGTGTGACAAATGACTGAAATATGTAACACCTGTTTGCTTCTCCCACGATTCTCAATTTTTCTCCCCAGTTGTTCCCCTCTTTGTTTTTTCTCTGTTTGCTCCCATGTTCCCCTTTGCCTCCTTGCTTGCAAACCTCTTGTCTTCTGTGGGTCTGTGGCTTGCAGTGGTGGTAGCAACAGCTCTGGGCTGAATATGGTAGCATCAGCAGGAGGCTCGCATCTGCTTCCTGGAAAAACAGAAAAGGAGTGAGTGTGGCCTGTGCACATGTATATACAGAGATATGCACAGAACCTCTTCTTCCTTTTTTCCTGCTGACAAGCACTACTCTGGCTGTGGCCAAGGGCAACCTGAGAAGATGGAAATGTGGGACAGGGAACCAGAATTGGCTCCAAAGTTCATTGTACTGTGAAATGCAACAGTTCAGAGGTCAGGTGATGAGTATGATGTAAATACATAGGATGTGGGAGGCAACGCTGTCATGTCGTCATCATCATATTACATTACGTGTTAATTTGTTGGAAATTATTCTATGTGCTCTCTTATAATGAGCTACTAAATAACCTTATTTACAGTTACTTTTTTGGTGGGCAGAAGGTGGTCATGATTAGAACTCCCGATTCCAGTTCCTTACTCAGAAAGTTGTATGAATTTATATGTTTCTGAAGATGAGCTGTTGCCTAATGTATAACTATGTTCTTTTTTTATGTTATCTTTGAAAGTTGCCACTTTGTACAGGCACGGTCCTGTACTGGAACATTTATAAACCAAAATTTATAGACAGTTATTTACTGAAATTACCAGTGAAAAGAAAGATGCTTCACTGTCCCTTTTTTCCTTCCTGAAGATGATGTTTCATCTTTTAATTTTACATATCATGGTAGTAATGACAGAAAGATCCAGCTTCTTTAGATGAAAAAATTAGCATCTGGAATACACATGTCTTAATTAAGATGCTACTCCCATGGATTGTAATTCAGTAAACCAAATGTGAACGTCTCATCTTCAAACCAGCATACGTGTTCTTATGTACGAAATCATTTATTACAGCCCTGAGAGTTTACAAAATGGGAGTTGTTAATTTAAAAAAGAGAAGAATATCTGTATGAGTCCTAATATGAGCCAATTCTTAAATCAATATGAGTAACAGCTATGAATCAATTGAAACTTAAGATGCCTTTTTGATAATTTCCCATCAAACACACATATTAATTCTTCCTTCTGAATATGGCAAACATTTGGGCAGGTCAGCAATTCAGATTTTTTTAAGATAAAGGATGCAATACCTTAAACCAGCTTTCCAGCAATAATTTGATGAGAAGTGATTAAAATATCTTTGTATTGGTGCAAGAGAAATATCAATTTATTTTATCAATATACAACATTCTTGGAGGCTTTTTAAGGCCAAGAAGACTATAGGGATCTTGCATCACTTTTTTATTAGGTATCATACTTGGTGTCCATTTTGCTGGTGAATTACTAGTACTAAGTGTGCTGCTGCTGCTGTGACTGTTTGCAGATCATACATAACACTGTGTGTTTTCATACAAAATAGCCATATTTAAAATCAAGATGACTTTTAACTTAAAAAAGAAAATAAACAGTAGTTTTGTTCGTAATGTTAAGTTTTAATATTTATGGGAAATAGTTACCAGTGACTGTAGTTTAGGTCTAAGAATGACATGATTTGAAATAATGGGTGCAGGTAAGAAGTTACATCTTTCCTTTGTTTTCCTCTTTCAGAACACAGGTATCCAGTGGTGATACTAAATGAACTGAAGTACTGTACTTATACCTCACACTGAGATTGTAGTTTCTCTTGTCCATACAAGTTGGTTTATATGTATAAATCTTAGGGAGTTATTACTGCATCTAATTAAACTCACTACTACAGGAGAGAAGAGGGAGAAGAAGCAGCAGCCGCCAGCAGCTGGGAGTGATGGCTCTAGACTGATGGATGTTTCTCGTCTGGACCTTCGTGTCGGTTGTATCATCACTGCAAAAAATCACCCTGATGCGGATTCTCTGTATGTCGAGGAGGTGGATGTTGGAGAAACAAACCCAAGAACTGTTGTTAGTGGCTTAGTGAAGCATGTGCCTCTTGAACAGGTACAAATGAAATTACTTTTACACAGTATTTGGCTGTGTAATGTATACTGTCTTAGTCCCAAAGAATGCTGGCTAATGCTAATTCTGTTAAAGTGACTCCTGGTTTATAGGAAAGACATGTTCTTCATCAGCGATCTTAATCTTTTATTTTGTTTATTAAAAATAATATTTTAACTATGGAAGGACAGATTTTAAACTAGATGACAAGCTGTACTTGTGCATCTGTAAATACTCTTTCTGTTACAAAGTTTCTCGCTTTTAAAGGAGGTCAGAGTCTCATTGAAAATTTTTGAAAGGAAATTTTGATATTTCACTCAGGCGGCCGGTGTAGGGGAATAATATAGATGGGCACGTAATGCTGTAAGTAAATGATTCAGGATTGATGGATCCCTTCCAACTTTAACTTTTATGAATCTGTGATGATTATTTTTTTCCATATTTTTCACTTATTTTTATTCCTTATTTTGTTTAAATTATCATATCGGTGTTTAAAATGCAAATTTATTCTAAATATAAATGTGTTAATGAGATTAAAATTTCTAGATTCATATGTTTTATTTTGCTTCCATAAAATAATTTGTGTGTTTATAAGCAATTTTATTAGAAAAATGCTGACCTTTTTGATTTTTCAGATATTTTTATGTGATCACATAGACTTTTGGTCATATACTGATGTTTATTTTAGTCTTTGGATCTAAAGCTGCTTAATTATTATCATATGGTTCCTACTAGGGAGAGGTCCAAGCTTTAAAGCCTGTGTCCAAATCTGAACTTTTTTTAACCTTGAGGTGTTGTAGAGGGATAGTTTGAATTCCAGCTTCTGGATTTGTCTGTTATAGAGATATTGGTCACCAATTTCCCAACTTCACAAGATTTCCTGAGTGTTGGATCTGAGGTTTTGTCTTGGGCCATCTAAACTATATGCCAGACACACTGACATTTAAAATAATTAGATCTCTTTCCAGAACTCACTTTTTATATTAGAATTGGAACATCCAGCAAACACTTAAAAAAGGAATATTTTAAAGTTATTTAAAGTAAAAGCAAATTTTATGGTAATGCTCCCTGTCCGATAATTCTGTTTCTAATGTTGTAGTGAAGAAGTAATGTGTTTTTTAAAAGTCTACACAAAGATATTTTCAAATTCTTCTGTCACACCTGTAACATTCCAAGTTTCATTTAATTGTAAGCTGCATAAACAGCACACATGTTTAAAAAGTGTGTGTTAGGCATCTTGTAGTCCTGAGATGTTAACTGGAATGAGAGCACATAAAACAATCATCTTCTTGTGTGTATCCAGAAAATGTTTAGTTTTGTTAAAGTCTTCATGCCCATTCTTTAAAGTTCCTCTGAATCATAATCACATGTGGTACAATATAAGAAAATAATATAATGAGAAACATTTGGAAAAGTAGAGTCTTAGCCAGTCAGAAAAGGATACTAGTTTGACTTTACTGGAAACATTAATGGAAGAAAACCATCTGGATATTGAAGTTTACAAGTGTGTACATCCTTTTCTAACCTGTACCATTGTACCTAGAAACATTATTCATGAACTCTTCAGAATATAAATAATATTAAAGCTCTCTGGTCACTCACCACAGCCACTCAGGGGGTGTATGAAGAAGGTAATTCAAAACCCTTCCCCTTTCCATTTTGTTTCAATCTAAATTTGGCTATATGCATTTACAACATATTTCCATTTGTTTCTGCACTTCAGTGTTAAAGGCTATATACTGTCTGTCCCAGGATTGTTTTTGTAATCAGTCAAAACCAAGCATGAATAAAGAGCACAATACTATTGCAATGTCCCTTTTATTCTGTACATTGGTCTATCTCGATTGTTATGCAGCATTCAGGACCAGGCTAGCTCAGATATTTGCATTTCAAATATTTAAATAGAACCACTGACATTTTACATCATCATATGTTTCTGGAGATTTACTTTCATAACAATGGCTTAAAATATACAACTATCATCTGCAAAATGTACTGTATGTACCCAGTAGATATATTATATCAAGAATATATTTAAATTGTCTATTTTCCATTATTCCTTCTTGTTTTCAGGGATTTGTATCTTAATGCTAAGAAAAATTTATTTTTGTTAAATTTTCTGACTAAATATTCAGAATTTTGCACATGTGTAAATTTTATTAAATTCAAAAGGAGTCGTGGTCTTGCTTTAAAAAGTTATGCATTAATATGCAGCAATCTCAATCTGAGAACAATTTTTTGTGGGATAGGGCGAATTTGAAGACATTTTTGTTTTGTTTAAAAAAGTTTTGCTTCAGTTTTATTCAACTTAAAAATTAATTTTTCTAGGGCAAAATAGTCTCTAATGGGGTCTGGTTGCAGTACTTACTCTCATTGTTATTTATTAATTAAGAAAAACAGAAGTGTTTATTGTTTTAAATGACCAAGTTGGTGTGTGCAGTACATACAGCCATTTTCATTTGCTCAAAAAATTTCTATTATCTTTGGTATTTGGGCTGAATGGGAACATACGGCACAGCTGTAATCTGTATCCTGAAATTTAAATCACCCAAACGTTTTTATATAATTACATATTTTATATAGTAACTTTAGTTTGTAGAAGTGGGTTTTTTTGTTTTGTTTTTTTTTTTAAAAGGAAATTCCTCTGCTAACAGCACTGTACTAAAGATGGCCTAAAGTTGTGACCCAAAACAACAAAAGCATGGCAAATGAGTAAAATATGTATTACCTAATATTTTGGCAAATCAAGGCTCAACCTTCGAGACTTTAGTATGGTACCCTGTTGTGTCTAGGTGCTGGAGGACAGCCTGGAATGTTTCATCCTTAATTGTCTGTTTCCTGGCTTTATTGACTAATAGTCTAAAAAAAATAGTCTAATAACCGAGTGGTTATTATTTCTGGTGTATTATTGTTGTTGTTAGCATAGTTATATGTATACAAACAATATTCAGTCTACTGTATATATGCATATTACATGTATTAAGCTTTCTCCCTCATAATCAATCCTCTTTTTTCTATAATAAAATAACTCCCAAAACCTTAACTCAGTTTCCTTACAATTTTTTTTTTAAATGAATATCTGTTCTTTTTTGTGCAGATGCAGAACCGGATGGTAGTATTACTCTGTAACCTGAAGCCTGCAAAGATGAGGGGAGTGGTATCTCAGGCAATGGTGATGTGTGCCAGCTCACCAGAGAAGGTGGAGATCCTTGCTCCCCCCAGTGGGGCTGTTCCTGGAGAAAGAATCACCTTTGAAGGTTTTCCTGGTAAGCAATATGTATTATTGGGGAAATGGGGAAAAATGCATAGCCAGGAACTTACGTATAAGTGCCATAGTTGTCTCTCAGTTGGAGCTGATTATACAGTAAGTATTATAAATTGAGTTAAATTGCAGACATTTTTAATATTCATGTGAAGAATTCATATTTTTATAAGAATACTCTAGTATTCTTTGAATACATAGCATAAAGAAGGATTAAAATATCTCACTGAAAGCCAAACATTGAGGATTGTGGGAGAAATAATAGTTCTCATACCTAACACATAGTGCATTCTCATCCATAGCTCTCTTTATGAACGTGGTCATTTTCAATATTTCCATTTTGCAAATGGAGGCGTGGAGGCATAGACAGGCTAAGTGACTTGCCCAAGGTCACATAATAAGTCAGCACCAGACTTAGTAATAGAACCAAAGTTTCCTGACTCCAAATTCTATATCCTTCACCTCATAAACATATGCACAATGTTTTCTGGGAAACATCTATTTCTAAGGTGAATTTTGAAGAAAAGTTTTTAGTATTGTGTTCTTCAAATAATCTTTGGCTCCAATAAACATATTGTATTTGGTTATGTTTTTACATTTTTTTAAATGTTTTTTTTTTAATTCTGAAAATGACAGTTTGCTATGATAGAATCAAACCTGGTCTTGCTAATTTGTATCCTGAGTGGGAGAAAGATACCTCCAGCCCCCAAGTAAAGTGTGTGTAGAGTTTGTGAAAGGTGCTGTACTGACATCCCAGTATGGTACAGTTATTGTATTCTAGTTGCTCACAGATAAGCATCACACAGGTAATGGTACTGAGTGTTTCTCCACCCAAGTGTATCATCACAATTCTGTCAGACCCACCACCTGAGGATGAGAGGGATATTCAGTTTCCACTTCTTTTCTGAGCCTTCCTGTTGACTCTATCAACCAAGATGCCAATATATTGTTTGTGGTGGTGGTAGAGCTTATAACCTCTATGTCATGGGTTCAGCTTAACCCCAGACAGGCAGTGATGAGCTCCACAGTTCATTATCAGTTCCCGGAGCCATCCACTGTCAAGCACAAGTTGTCATCTTCTGAAAACGATCATCCAGATAGATGTGGTGTGTATGTGTCAATACGGTCTGATTCCTTCCTACAATACCTGTCGCTTAAAATTGCGTTGCTATGTGTTGGAAATACTGTGCCATACTTGACGCACTACTTAAAAGGTAGGACACTCGGCTTATTGAATATTTATCTCCACAGCATACCTTTTATATAAATACTTCTTAATGTAATCTTCTGGTACTTACAAAAAAATTTTGGATGGCATATCACTGAGAAAGTGAAGTCTCTGCACTGGTGCTTTTCAGATAGATGAAATGTACATTTTATTAAGACTTAGTTGCTGTACCTTGTTGCTGTAATTCAGAGTGTATTACAAATAATATCCTGTTTAAAGAGGAAATAATTATTGGAGCATTTTTTTCTTTTTTGGCTTTATATATTTAAAAGATAGCATTTTATTGCTGAAGAAAAATCAGATGCACTGTAGATTATGTACAATGTGAACTAAAATCCAGAAATCTCCAATAATAAAAATGACTTTTGTTTCCTTTACCTTATAGTATTGATCAACTGCACCCCAAATCTGCTGTTCAAGTGTTTTGTGTTTGAAGGGTGAAGAATTTCTAAAGAAAATGGTTACATGGCAGTCTCAAAATATAAACAGAGCTAGTCATTACAAATATATCATAAGAGATATGCACACATACTTACCATGAAAAATAGTTCATAACCTTAAACCAAATTAACTCATTAGTAAATGCCAAAACTGGAAAGAACACATAATTGCCCGATATTAGCCACTTTTTATTTGAAACCAAGGAAATCCCTGAGATGAAACATCTTAAGTCACATTATTTTTTTCAGATCTTGGATTCCTTTTGCTTTGACATTTTCCCAGTGTGGTTTAGCTGGCACTCTGCTGATTCATTCTGTTGGAAAATGTGCTATTTAATTATGTCAATCTATTTAACTGGCAGACTTGAAGAGTGCAAAACACTGAAATAATCTGCCTTCAAAAAAAAAAAGCTGTTGTGAGAAACACATTGTTGTGAATAGAAAACATATATGTTTTCTTTATTACTCATTGTTTCCAAAAAATGTTCAAACTCCCTTATGCTAGTGGGTAGCACAAGCTGCAGAATAAGCTTTGCTAGTGGGAAAATCCTAGTGACAGGATCATGAGGATCAGCCTTCACTGCTCTTTCTCTTAAGCATATTTTATGCTGAGGTCAAACCCAAAAATCTGGTGTTCATGCATACTGGTATTCTATTGACACAGTCTCTTTCTCAAAAGCTGTATTATAAATTAAATGTGGTGTGATAGTTCTAAACCTTGGGCCTGCAGCCTGTGATAGAAGACTCTGTATGTTTTACAACAGCTTCCTTCTGATAGGAGCCATGTGTCTACAAAAGTAGTAAGGTACGGGAAGCGGAAAGTTGGAAGAACCCTGCCAACCCAGTAGTAAATGGTACCCCTTCATTGGCCTTACATCCTGCAACAATTTTTTTTGTCATTCACTATCATAAACATTTGTTTCGTAAAAGAATAATAGATTGAACCAAAATACAAAAGTAAAAATTTCTGGGGCACACGGAAGTGTGATTCATGTGACACTTTTTCTCCATTCCCAATCCACCCAAGTAGATGTTTTCCATCCCCAATGTTAAATTATAGAAATCCTGGTTCACATAGTATGAATCAGAATTGTAATTGGAAATACATTGGATGTTATGGCTGGTAATTTCTTTCACTATGGGCTACCTTGGAGCCTAACTTTCAAAGAGATTTTAAAATCATATCCTTCTAAACTGCTCCTCCTACAGATTAAACTTAGTGAGAACGCGATCCTGCCATTGTCCTTTGTGAGCTGTGTGTTAGACCGTTCGCTATCTCTTAAGAACAGTGATCAAAACAGTAAACATTTAACCTGGAACTGTCCCACATTGTGTCTTCTTGCTAAAGCTACTTAAGTAGTGATTTTATTTTTTAAATCAGATGGGTGAAGAGTGTCTCCCTTGGGTTGACTCCTGCATTATCTTTATTACCCATTGTTTCCAAAAAAATTCAAATTCCCGTATGCTTGTGTTAATCCTGCTGACAGCTTTGAGGGGTCAGCCTTGACTTGCTCTTTATCATGTCATATTTTATGCTGAGTCCAAACTCATAAATCAAAAATAAATGATCAGAAATAACATTTGAAAATGATCACAGAGCTATGGAGCTCTGTTACATTGCATTCCGTCTGTTCTTGCACACCAAGCCACCTGCCTAATGGGGCACTTCTGTAGCAAAACAGTTAGAATTACTTTTAAGGAAAGCTTCGATCCATCATTAGATTTCCAAAAGTCTTTTCATAGTGAGAATCAGCTATGTCCGCCTTTGTTATAAAATTGTTCCCAGGTGTTGGTGCATATTGATATTCTATTGACCTATTCTGTTTCACAAAAGCTGTATTATAAATTAAATGTCGTATGAAAGTTGTACTTTAGAACTAAACCTGTGGCCTGCAGTCTATGATAGAGCGTTTGTTATGCTTTACAACCAGTTCCTTCTGATATGAAGCCAGAGACATCTGGGGAGATTTGATGCTGCCAAATGAAGATTTTTACAACCATTTTTTCTTTAAATTGACTTCTGGAGATAAACATTTTAGCTACAAAATATGGCAACTATTCCCTAAAGCACCAATGGAAAAAATATTTTTTTTCAGAAAAACTGGTAGCTACGAGACAAAGCCAATAACTGTTTTTTGAGGCTACACCACTCATTCTTAACAGCACAAAATAGACATTCTAGAATAGAACCAATCATTACATATGAAAACATACAAAACATAGATCAATAAATACGAGGAAAGGCTAGAGCAAGCCAACTTGATATAAAAGATATTCTTTTGCTAGTTATGAAGGAAACACTTCTAAGTGACAGTCAGTTTTTGGCAGGAATCAAGAGTATTTATAAATCGCAATAAGGTAATTGGTATAAAGCAGCACACAAGATGGAAGGAATCATGCATTCATACGGTATATAGACTAAAATTTTGAAGGATATTATCAATGTTTATTTTTAAGCTTTTCTTTTTTTATCAATTTTAAATTTTCAGTTTTTCAAAATTATGTGTGTTAAGCTTTCAGATTTTGTCCATATAAATTTTCACAGTTGTGGGAGATTGAGGGATCAGACAGTAGGGGGAGTCAGATAGTAATTATTTAATGACAGTATATGTTAAGATTTAAAAAGTTTAAGCTTCATAACCATTAAAATACAAATTGTCAACATATCACATGTCCACAAAGTCTGTGTCTTCAAATCAAACTCAAGTCCTCAAGCAGCATTTTTCTTGCTTTGCCCACCTATAAATTTCAAACATCATCAATGGAAGTATTTTTCCTCAGTTTGTGTGTACTGTGAAATTGACATTTACCATTAAAAAGTCTAATCCTTCCAAGCCTAAGTGTAAATAATATATAGCGTGGAAGGTTCGTTTTGTTGTTTAAGAGTAAATAATTTGCAAGACTTCACATAAAATGTAAATGCAAAACAGATGTAATTTAGTACATTTCACTAGGTTCATTTTTAGGGATGAGGAAGTAGGACGGGGAGAGAGTGCTGATTTAATCACAGTAAAAAAAAAAAAAAAAAAACCTGTGAAACACACACAGACAGGCATGTGCATTATCCCCAGCCTTCTGCAGGGCACTGATCCTGCCTAACATGATGGAAGGTTTGTTCTGAATCATTAGGTCAGTAAGATTCAGTGAGGGCAAGTCTACACTACAAAATTAAGTTGACCTAAGTTATGTCAACATATAGCCACCACAGTAATTAAATCGCTTTTGAATGTCTGCACTATGCTCCTTGTGTTGACAGCATACATCCTCACCAAGAGTGCTTGTACTGATTTAACTGTCAGTGTGGGGCAATGTGGGATGGCTTCTGAAAGGCAGCAA